TTTATTATTAAACTTACTATTATTTAATTTATTTAATATGTTTTTAAAACCTATAACATAATAATTTATTAGTTTAAAAAAAAAATTGGTATAAAATTTAACAAAAATTAAGTGTTTTTTTTTTTTTAAGAAAAAAGATTAAAAAATATTTAAAAAACATTTTTGCCGATGGTTTGATACAAAACGTATCCATAGATTACTCGAATTTCAGTATGTTATGCAATTTCAGTACATTATGCCGATACGTTATGTTATGCCGATTCATAACGTTATGCCGATTTTATCTATTTTTATTTATTTATTTTTAATTAATTAATTTATTAATAATTATTAATTAATTAATTAATTTTTTAAATACGTATAACGATACGTATTACGTACATGGTCACGTGACCCTGATTTCGGGTCACCGACCATTTTTGTGGGAATTCAAATTCCCATAAGTTACGTGACTTCGTTGTTTGAGCGGAGTTTCAAACTCCATTTTGGCGGAGTTTGAAATTTTCTTTAATTTTGCAGAAACGCGAAATCCGAAGTCACGTGACTTCGTCGGAGTTTCAATTCGTCTCTTCGTTCTCTTCTTTCTAAGTTTCTTTGCTTTTTTACCCTCTTCGCTATTTTTTCACTTCCCTACTCCACACCCACTTCCCAACTCTCACACTCACCTCCCCACTCCCTCCGTCCCTCTCTCATTTTCCCACACTCTCTCCCACCCACCCTTCATCCCTCCCTCTCTTTCACCCAGTCACTAATTTAAAAAAAAAAAACAGAACGGTTCATATGTTTTTGCCTACTTTGCAGGCAAAAACATATGAACCGTCCTGCTTATAAAATAATTAGTGACACAGGTTTGCCAAATAGTAGAGGGTTGATAACTTGTTATGCTTCATTTAATGAGCTAATAAAAATTTTTTAGCCAAAATGTAGATTTCCCTCTTTCTACTGAACAGCGACCATATGACTTATCTGCTATCTATAATAATAAACTATCTAATTCAAAGTTTGTCTGTTTAAACATTTTTGATTGGTTATCTGTGAATTGGTAAATGTAAGTAATTATTATGATATTATACTGCAATTTTAAAATATGTAATCATTGTGACATTCTTAAACATCAATGATTGTCAAATTTGTAACTATTTTGACATTTTAGAAAAATGACAGATTTGACAATCATGCGAAGCAGATATTCGCAATTACAGATTTGACTATCACGTGGATGATCAATCAGGAAATATCACATAATTAGATAATTTAGTAAACTATCTAACTCCGGTTCATCTATTTAAATCATAATGATATGTTGATAGAGACGACAAAGTTAAATTATTATTATATTCTAATTACTTTAATTTTGGGATTGTGTTTAACCATTTATGATTAGCAGCATCCAAAAACATGAACAAATTGTGGAAAAATTTTGATCAGCCTAACGATTCTTATTTTAAAAAATTGTAATTATTGCAATATTTATGTGTTTGAATGATTAATTAGTAAAAATCATATTTTTGTAAATTATTATTATTAATTGATTAAAAAATTTCCAGTGAATATTAATTTTAATTTGATTTGCTTTAACGATTGTGTTTCAAGACATTGATTAGTCATAATCATTCAATTATTTAAATAAATTACTAGGATGAGTATAAGTTTAATTCAGTTCGCTTAAACAAATATATTTCAAGATATTGATTAACTATAATTATGAGGTGTGGCGGCTTAGTGAAGTGGTCAAGTCATCACCCTCTCCAAGTAGCAGTTCTAGGGTTCAAATCCCATGGACGACGAAAGTTTGAAAAATAGGCTTGTGTTACGGTAACAGATCTTCATTAAGTTGGG